AGCATAAATTTGAGCATAAGCATAAATTTGAGCATGAGCATAAATTTGTGCTGAAGCCTCAATATAGCTTGAACCCTTAACTTTCTGACCTGGAGACAAGATTGCTACAATCTGAGCCATTTTGATGCATAATTGGATGCCGCGTTTTAGCATTTTCTCCACATTTGATAGAAACTCTCACAGCCTCCACTGCTGTCGAGAGATTTGGCTAAGCAAAGCCTGTTGTAAGGCATCAGTAGGATCAAATTCAATTCTTTCCCTTGCTGCCTTTTGCATTGCATGTCTTGGAGCCAGCTTCTCCAACTTACTGACACATATGATCAAAAGTGTGCATCAAATTGTTTAACAATATTCTGTGCCTTCCTCGTTGGTCTTTCTTCACATCAAATGCCAAATGCGAAGAAGTTCTTCACCACAAAGATTGAAAACATCTGCTTTGATTGCATCGTCCTCCCCCACCACCCCATGTCTCATTCCACCCCAACCAGACCATCCATTCCGCCTTCTCCCTCCGCCACGGCTCTTGCCGCGCCCCCCCACCCTTACACTCCTTTGCTCACATTTCTCTCTCCTCCCTCTCAACCACAATCACCTGAGTGAAGTTCACCACCTGCTGCCTCGACCACCTCCCCACCCACCTGCTGGTCACTCAACTCCCCCCTGCTGGCCGACAAGATCAACCAGTCTCTCTCTTTGGGTTCTGTTTCATTCCCCCTGAAAAACGCTATTATACAACAACAACTCTCCTCCCTCCTCCTTAGTGGGACCGGACTCGAATGGTTCGAGTTCTACTTAACCAAATGTCTCCATTTCATCTCAGCAAATGGTTTCTCCTCCCTCCCCCACCCGGTCACCTGCGGGGTACCCCAGGGCTCCATCTTTGGCCCCTTCTTTTCCTAATATATGTTCCCTCTTGGCGATGTCATCCGCAGACACAGGGTAAACTTCTGTGGTGGTCTTTTGGTAATCTGGTTCCTGAGCCAGATTCCTAAAATTGAAAATGAACTAGGCCAATTAAACCCAGAAGCTGAGGACACAGCTGGATATTTATAATGATAAATGTTAGCTAATGCAAATTGGAACAAGAAATATCAAGCATGTTCGCACAATGAAATTGCTTGTTTATTAGCCGAGTTGAAAAGTGGAAACGGATTTGAAGTGATCATAAATCTTTCACTGATAAATTTCAGTTTGTGCGCTTCTGCTGTCAATAAAGCTAATTAAATATGAATCCTTATTTTAAGGATCAAAACAACACTTGCAAAGATGAGGACGAGTTTGATAAGAGTCTTCATTATTTCTCGATGCTTCAATGGCTATCTCTTTTACTTCAGAATAGCCCATGTTGTAGGAGTTATTTGTCACTCTTCTCTAAGTTAACGAATCATTTGATGTGTGCCTGAACTTATTTGGTACTCAACCTTCAAAGGTTGAAAATATTTCAGCGTGGCATGATCAGGACAATTGAAGGATGAAAGATTCTATGTTCTAGTAGTGGAGCTGAAGTATTTTCATTGGAGAAACAAAGATTGAATGGAAGTATGATCCAGAAGTCTTTAACAACAACTTGCATTTGTGGAGTCCTGTAGCTCAGTGGTTAGAGCACTCGCTTTGCAAGCGAGAGACATGAGTTCAATTCCAGGCAGAGGGCGAAACCTTGGGCAAGTTTCCTTACTCCACACGTCTAATAATAATCCCTCCAAAACAAAACAATAATAAATTGGTCATTTTCAATCTACTACTGTTTGTGGGACACTGCTGTGCGCAATTGGCTGCCGCGTTCGCCCGCAAATATACAGTCAATTCACTTTACAGTGTGTTCTGTGAAGCGCTTTGGGACGTCCTCCCGACGTGAAAAGCGCTATATCAAATGCAAGGATTATTATTATTATTATTATTATATATCATGCCCTTCACATAGAGTCTCAGAGCACTTAGAGAGATGATTCCAAGGACCGAGCAGGTGGGTGAGAGAGGGTGGATCAAAGGGATAGCTTTTTAGGTGGATTTTGAAGACATATATAAAAAAGTAGGCTGTGGGGATAGAGGGAGGCTGTTCCAGAGGGTGTAGACATGATGGCTGAATGTTCGGCTATTGAGGCAGGGAGCCAGCGGAGTCTGACAAGAACACGGCCTATAGGACATGCAAAACTTTGTGCTTCCTGGGCAGCGGAGCAAAGATGCGGGCAGCAGAGTTTCAAGGATGGAGCATTTCAAATGGAACATTTCAAATGGTGAGAGGTCTTGGTGATACGGATATAAGCAACTTGCTTGATTTAACCTTGTGAGCACAGAACTGTTGGACCACAGGGACAAAATGTACTTCTAGACATGAGTAAACAATATGTACTCCCCACAGAGCAGTGGAAATGCGAATACAACCCAGAAAATCTGTCAAAAGATAACACTTACTAATAATAATATAATCATAATCCTTGCATTTGATATAGCGCTTTATCACGTCATTGAGACATCTCAAAGCACTTCACAGAATATACTGTAAAATGGATTGACTGTATATTTTGTGGGCGAAATCAACAGCCAATTTCACACAACAATGTCCCAAAACATATAGAGACCAAATTATTATTATTTATAATTTTTGTTTTGAAGGGATTATTACCCCCATAAAGCGATGTGCCAATCGACTAACAAGCGGGTTCTTACTTACTGCTAGGGAAACAGAAGCTTATGGAGTAAGGAAGCATGCCTATGGTTTTGCCTGCCCGAGAATCGAACCTGGGTCCTCTCGCTTGCGAGGCGAGTGCTCTAACCACGATTGGAAGAAATAAGACTCAGGAGTGTAAATACAATACAAAATTACATTTATAAATTGGGTGGTGTCACTGAGGGCACTAGGCACTGGGACTTTCTCCGAGCAAGGTATTCGTTAGGACCAAGACAGTTGTTAAACAGATTAATGTAGAAAAAGCGATACAGAAAATCAGGAATCTGGACTGAACAATGGTCCACAAAATCACACGATTAATTTGGACAAAGAAGGCCCTGCTTATCACAGCATCAGGCTTTTGTTAAATGAGACCAGCGTCCTTTATGGCAACTTGTTCCAGTTGTTAATTACCATTGGTGTAAAGAAATACTGTCTGTCCTAAAATTTCCCTTTACAACTCTAATCCTGTGTCCTCTTGATCTACTATATTGGTGCATCCCAATTATTGTTCTGGGTTTACTTTCTCAATTCTGTTTAAAATGTAATACACCTCTATATAGATCATTTCTGAGACATTTCCTTTCAAGCCTGAAGAGCCCTCCATTTCTCTAATCATTGTTCATAGCTCATTTTTTTAACACTGAGATCATCTCATTGCTCTCCTCTTTACAGTCTCATGGCCCTGCACAGTCCCCTTATGTTGCGGTGACCAAGTCTATATTCAGTACTCTCACTGTGGCCTGACTAGACCATTTAGACCGAGTATGAATTCTGGAGATCTGAATGCAATTGATTTTGCAATATACCCCAGCATCCTGTTTGCCTTATTTACTACTGACTCACACTATTTTGAGATAGTGAGTGATAAGTCAACTAACACCACTAGTTCTCTTTTAACTTTCCCCTTGGCAAGTTCTATCCCATTCATTTGTATTTCCTATTCTTAGTTCCTGCACGTGGTGCCACACATTTATCTGTATTAAACTTTATTTGTCAGTTATCTGCCCATGTGCATACTCTTTCAAGCTCTCTTGTAAGATGTTTGCTGCCTCCTCTAATTCCACAGGTACCTCCAACTGATACATTCGTGTCATCTGAAAATGTAACTACCATACACTGGGTTTGGAATACAAGTCATTAATGTATAAAATGAATATAAGGAGTCCCATTACCCCAGATCCCTGAGGCACCCCACTTGATACCTCCCTCCATTTGGACCTAGCTCCCCTGAGATCAACCGTCTACTTTCTTCTCTTCAGCTATTTCTAAATCCATATTTTTGTTTTGCCCTTGATAACCAGTGACGTTAGTTTGTGAAGGAGTCTTCCTTGTACTTTGTCAAACACTTTTTGGAAGATGTATAATAATATCCAAACACAGACAACCTACACCACAGGCTAATATTTCTGTCAAATACATGTTCTTCTCCCGTTTGTCCTGCTATTTTCCCACTTTCAAGCGATCTCTACTTTCAAACAAATTACTAACCTTGTCAGTGATCAGATTAATGATGATGTGCTCCTGGATACCCTGTAAACCAACATCCTGATGGGTAGAGAGGTTCAACTGGACAAGCAACGGTAGACTTGCCAGACAATGTTCGCAAAGGCAAGGTACCTGTGTTTTTTAACATCAGCAGGAATCTGACACACTCACTGGGTTTCCAAGCCTTGGTTTAGGCCAGCCTGTGCCAAATACTTTCTGGGATTAGATATATAGGGTGGGGTCCTCTAACATTCCAGACAAAGGGAAATTTCCATATATATGTGTGATTCTTACTCTGAGTTTAGATATTCTTAAATATGGTGATGGGTTTCCACGTGTGTCAGATGCCCCGAAAACAAGGGTACTCTTAAGAGTCAAACTCAGTTTCTTCAATACCTCTTTGCTCCTCTATCAATGAATGCAGAATTGTAACGCTATTAAGTTTCCTAAATTGCATAAATTTGATAAAAGGCTTAAAACTTTTTGTGAAAGTTCCTAATACTAATTTTGTATCTTTCTTGTCTTTCAATTTTTAAGTAACCAACACAAATTGTTTTATCTCCCAATAATATCATAATTTAACACCCAATCCTGTGTCTTTCACCAAATCATTGTTTTCAAATGAAAAAAATTTGATCTGTTTCAGGAAGATAGAAGAGAAAATCAGATATCTGAAATTTAATTCCATGTGAGAATGAAATGTTATTAAATCCATCAGGATATTGATCTATTTGCTGGGTTGCATCAGGCATATTCATTTCTCTAAGCATCGCCGCACACGTTAAAGAATAACACGTGTTTTTTCCCTGCCTTCTCTCACATTTACACATCTGATGGGCCTTACCTCTTTTTGATGGTACTTAATTGCCAACTTTAGTCTGGAAAGATCATTTGTTTTCTGCTCTTCCAGGATGCAATTATCATCCCCGTAATTAAGAATAAGCTCCAATTCCCTGGAGCTTCTCGTTTGGTCCAATAAATCTTTCGCGAAAGTTTTGCACTGTTGTGACAACTCCTCGTATTCTGACTTGAACTCATTTTCCACCTTGCTCAGCTCCTGAAGCTCCCAGCTCAAATGAAATGCGGTGAGAAAGGGGTCCTCGCTGGACAAAGCGATCAAAGATGGGCTTGCTAAGGCCCTGTATATGTTCAGTCTGGAACGGGAGTGGCGCAGACTGTCCACGTCTGAACTGGAAACACACTCGACACAGTTGCAGCGGACTTCGTGGGGCTGCGGGATGGAAACTCCTCTTTGAACCAGCAGCTTTATGATCTCGTAACTGTTAGTGTGAGCTGCCAGGATTATCGGAGTGATATCTGGTGTGAATTCCGAAAACTGCTTATCCAGCAGTATCGGTGGAACCTGAGAAACACAACAGGAGACGTGTTATTTTCAGCTAGTAAAATTTCTATTTCATGGGAAATAGCAAAAACGAAAATTGAGTTTTTTTTTACTATTTTTTCTCACATTTAAGCTAGTTTTTCGCTGCCCTCTCTCACAATTACATGTCTTTATGTTACGCACAACACAGCCTGAGCGTGATGTCTGTGAACTTTGCATTTGTGGATTGCAGTACTCAGCCCAAGAGCATTTTGATTTCAAGGCTGCTTGGTTGCTTGGTAAATAGGCAAACATTAGGCATTGCTTTAGGTACGGAATTCATTGCAATATGAATACAGTCTGACCCCATTATAGGTGACAAGTTGTAACAGGATTGGACTACATGTCTAGAATTGTAGGAATGTACAGATAAGGCCTGATACAGGTAAATACAGGTAAGGCACTCAGTCTCAGCTCTAAGACGATTTTGTCTTCAATTTAAGAATGTGCACAATTATGGGAAATTCTTAAATTCAGTCTTACTTTGGAAGCTGGTTCTATTTAAGATTTGCGGGAAAACCAACTTCCAAATTAAGACCAGATTTAAGAAATTATTCACTATTCTGTGTGATCTGAAATTTTAAGGTTTTACAAGCTAAAACTAAGGGGAATTTTAGGCCTGTACAAATTCCTGGTAATCTTCTTTGCCTATTCCATTACTTTCAACGAATCTCCTCGACATTTATTGTGTGACTTTAAAGCAATTGTGTTTAATACCTTGTGTAAATATATAAGGGAGAGGAAATTAACATCAATAGATAGAATTAAATGGCAGAAACCCAAAGTATAAAATGTTCGAATTGCAAAAAGACCCAAATGCTGTGCCTTTGGGAGTCTATCTTAGTGAGTGCAGATAAACATTGGTTTGACAGGTTTATGATATATCAGTGGAAATTAAATTGGTAACCATCACTCAATGTATTCTGGAGAGATTGTGGAACAGTCAAAATTTTCTGAGCAGAACTGCAAGTCCAGTTCTATTTGACATCCATTAATCGAATGGCCAATCAATCACTGGGATCAATTAACTTCATTTAGATTATTTAATTGTATAAGAGGCTTTCCTCTGGAGATTCCACTTGTTCTTGGCCCATGTTGATAAACTGACATATTCCCTCATATACCTTTTGGATGATTTTTCCAGAGGACTATGTCATGATGCCTGGAATCTTGAAGTAGTGGCATGGAAGGAATTGGTTATGAGCAGAAAACTGGATTCAGAAGAGCACAAAATGTGGCTTGGACATAGGGGTAGAAACAAAGCCACAGCTAGGGTGAAGGAAGGCTTTTTTCTGGTCAGGGCTCTGCAATAATAATAATCCTTGCATTTGACATAGTGCCTTATCACCTCTTTGAGATGTCTCAAAGTGATTCACAGAATATACTGTAAACTGAATTGACTGTATATTTTGTGGGCAAAACGCAACATACAAAATTGGAACAAAACAAAGTATCTGAAGCTAAATTTCCTTTTTGATTCATGCACATTATGATAAAGCTTAGCTAAACTCATAGAAGTGGCAGGCTTTTGAACACATTGAGATCCAGCACTGATTAAAGCCATCCATAAAATTGAGCACAGGAAAACTAGCTGATCCACAGCCATGGTCATCGGTAGTATAATGCTCCAGTGTAATTGCACCACAGACTGCATCCAACCAACTAAATTTCCCCCATTTCTCAATGTTCTCGAAATGAGGAAATTGACATGCGAAGAATATTTCAAATACCCTGAGGCAACCAGTAGTTTTGTGAAAAATGTATCTTGTTTTATTAATAAATACTGAGAGGTAGAAGCCATGTCATTGGTTTGAACTGAAGCTGTTTGTCGATAACTATTTGCACGGAGTGAAAAATGTGAAATTTGTAACAGATTGTTAGTTGATTGGCGGATCGCTTTTCCGGACGTAATAATTCCTTAAAAAAAATAATAAATTGGTCACTTCAATCTGCGACTGTTTGCTGTGTGCACTTGGTTGCTGTGTTTCGCCCACTAAGTATACAGTCAATTCACTTTACAGTGCATTTTGTGAAGCGATTTGAGACGTCTCAAAGACGTGATAAGGCGTTATAGCGACTGCAAGGATTATTATTATATCTTCTTGTTCCTCCTTTTAATGAGATTTGCTATGTGCATGGGCAAACCTCTAATGGACAGGATGGTCCTAAAAAAATTATTTGGACTGAATTACAACATTATACCCCTCGCAATATTTAGTTAACCTATTCCATAATTCAATGGAATGTGTTAACCACATGTGGTTGAATGTGTTTTGAGGATATCTCAATGTGTGTGCCCAACCAGCAATGTAGAATATAATCCTGATTTTTTGAACACAGGAAAACCCATAAACTCTCAGGACTGGGTTAGTAATACAATGTAAATTTCAGTTCACATAACCTCCGCTTTCATAATCACATAACGTACTGATGTTCGTTACATAACTTACCTGTTTTTCTCCTCTTGGCTTCTTGTGAATTAGTAGGAGTTCAACAGCTCCTACAACCTCCTTCCTGATGGCATGGAGAAGAGCATCCCCTACATAGACATTGAAACTCAAGAGGAGTTCAATGATTTCCAAGTTTTCATTCTCAATCGCTATGAGAAGGGCAGTCCGCCCAAGTGGGTCAATGCAGTTGATGTTGATTTTAAAATAAATTTCGGCTTCTTCAAGCGCTTTCTTGACACTGGCATAATCGCCCTTCTCCACTGCGCTTAGGTAGGTTTTCTCTGCAGGGGAGAGCTCGGATTCTGCTCGCACGATTCGAAGAGAAATGCGGTCTCTATACGGTGCATTGTCACTCCTCTTGTAGTAAAGCTGAGCCATCACTCATCCCATGTCAAATTCTTGTCTCTTAAAGAAAGCAAATGTTTACAAACTTAAGTGATTTTGTTGTGGTTAAGGGGAAAATCTTTATAATAATAATAATGATAATCTTTATCATTATACATTTAGATTGTATTAGCAATTGGAACTTCATGTTGAATGGACATCATTCTGCAGTCACCTACAAATACACAATCACTACACTTTACAGGAAAGACTTTGTGAAGAGCTTTTTGATGTGAAAAAGGAGCTAAGTGAAATGCAAATACTATTATAAAATTAAACTTAAAAGTCAACTCTCAAACTGTTTTCTTGTTCAACTTGTCAAAAGAATTGAAGATTATTCTTCTGATGCGCTTCCAATAAACACATACCAATCTCAATTATTCTTGGCCAACAAGCCTTCTGTTGAATTAGTTGTTCACATCCTTGTTGTTCAGGTCTTCAGCCTCCCTCCTACCTCTCTGCCCTCCCTCATCCCAACCATGCAGACCCACGTTCGGGTCCTGATCCCTGACTGTTCAGCACCTTGGGACATCCTCCCGATGTGAAAGGCACTTTACAAATGTAATTTTGTTGTTGTTCGTGTGTGTAAATCGGCTGCTGAATTCGCCTGCAAACACAGTGACTACATTTTACAGAAAAAAAATGGTGCTATAGGAAATGCAAGTATCATTGTTTACTGCACTGCCAAGATGGCCATATTCCTCACTACCTCTGTCCGCTGCCACCATCCACACTATATTGCAAGGGAATCAAGAAGATACATGCTAAAACTGTACAATGGTCACTCTCTGCTACACCATCACAGATTGGACAGATTATTATTATTATTATCACTGATTGGACAACAACACCAATTTACATTTATACAGCGCCCCTCCCGAGAGGTAGCATCCCAGATTGCTTGGCAGTGGCAGAGCATGATGTTGAGCCAGGTGGAGGTGACCGTAAGCACAGTTTAAGGACATTAAAGACCCAAAGTTCCACCTAGTTTTCAACTGTAAAGGCCATTTTTTCTTAAAACTTTAGCTCACACAGAATTGTAGAACATTCGTTCATTCAGTCATAATCTGGAAGCCAGTTTTATGTGATTTTCTTTTAAAATAAACAACCATCTTCCAAATTAAGAATTCTCTGCAAATTTACGCAATCTTAAATTTAGAAACATGACGGTCTTGTAGGCTCAAACTAGAAGAAATCTCAGAAATTCAATACTATAGTAATAATCTTTGCAATGCAATATAGTGCCTTTCATGTCAGGAGGATGTCTCAAAGCCTTTCACAGGATTTACTATAAAGTTGAATGACCGTGCATTTTGTAAACAAATGTGGTAGCCAATGTGCACACAGCAACGGCCCACTAACACCTACAAAGCGAATGACCAATTTCATTAGGAGGAATTGTTGGTCAGGACATCAGGAGATGTCCTTTTCAAAGTGTGCCATGGGAGCTTTCGCATTACCTGAACAGGTGGACAGGGCCTTGGTTTAACATGCCTTAAGAAGAACGGACTGACCTACTGAGGCACTGATATATTGCAACGTCCTAACAACTTGGGAATTATTGCCCCATTTTCAAATCAATTCTGAACATTGCTCATGTATTATTCACTAGAGTTTAATATAATTTGCAGTAGGAATTCACGGAATAAAGTTAATGAATACAGAATAAAATGTTAATACAAACTGTTACAGCTGATTTCTCATCTATATTATCATTGTTAGCTTGCTTTTAATGACTGTGATGGTAATTCTTCCAGAGTTTGAGTAATGCTTCGTGACTTTCTGCTTTGACTGTCCATTTTCTCATTTTAGTTACAAGGGGCTGAAATTCTTCTGTTCATTACAGCTGCTATAAAGGGTATTTATTGATTGTTCCTTGCATTTGATATAGCATCTTTCATGCTGGGAGGACATTCCTCAAAGAGCTTCACATGATTTATTATAAAGTACGTTGACCTGAAATTTCCTTCTCTTTTCGAATGGTGCAAAGGTGTCCTTAATGTCCACCTGAACAGGCAGACAGAGCCTCGGTTTAACATTTCATCCAGAGCATAGCACCTCCAACAATACAGTGCTCCCCAAGCACTAAACCAGAGTGGCAGCCTAGACTGAAAAAGTCCTGTATGGCTTGACCATACAATCTTATGACTCAGAGAATGCTACCGACTGAACCAGACTGACCCATGTGGTCAATTGTGGTCTTATTAATGAAAACTGACAACAAATCAGTGAAGGTACCTTCAATACTGAGTATTTCAGGCAGCTTGAGTACTTTGGCATTTTAATTTAGGTTTTCAGATACGAAAATTCATTAATATTTTATGCATAGGACTGTTAGCATACATGTCATTTCAATGGATGTCAAAGATGAGTGCACAGTACAATTTAGAAGGAAATTGAATAAATACTCACTTTAATATAAAAAACATCATATTAAAATGTACAGGGAACAGGCAGACCAGGAGAATTGGATTAGAGTGGCTTGTTCAAGTCATGTATTGGCCTTGGTCTATGCTGTAAATGCTCTACATCTATGAATCTAGCTGTGGAGCGTGAGAATGTCAGATAAAAATATGTCAGAAGGTTTTTGGATTAGGTCCTGCAAGTCTTTCTGAAGCAATAACAGCGTGTTTTTGCTGTATGAGGTTTCTGGCCGCCAGCATGCAAACAATGGAGGAGGTTTGGCAATGCAGCACTACTGCCTGCACGACATAAGGATGTGGCGCCTGCTCTCCAGGAAAGGGCAGATCTCAAACAGTAGCAAGAAGAAGAGCGTTGTTGGTCTGCAAAATACTAGAATGATAATCCTTGCATTCGATATGGCGCTTTTCATGTCAGGCGGATGACGCAAAGAGCTTCACAGAATTTTACAGCCAAGTAGAGTGACTGCAGGCAAGCAGTAGTAATAAATGTGAAAATGTCATGACTGCAAATGAATAACCCCACGTTTAACATTCAAATTAAAATGTAGAGAAGGGAATTTCTCCCAGTATCCTAGCCAACAAGCCCTCACATAAAATTGGTCACACATGGCCGTGTACATTTGCCTACAAATACATAGACACTACACTTTACAGAAAAATCCTGAGACACGATAAGGCGCTATATCAAAATGCAAGGATTATTTTATTATAATTCAAATATCATACAAACAATACAAAATTTATATTTGCATATCCCTTTTCATATCGGGAGGACGTGAAATGACTAGGCCATGAGAGCAAGAGAACTACAGTATTAAGGGAGAATGAAGTGAGAGAACAGTCCTGAGTCTTTCTCAGAATCATAGAATCTTACAGCACAGAAGGAAGACATTCAGCCCGTCGTGCCTGTGCCAACTCTGAAAGAGCTATCCAACTAGTGCCACTGCCCCTCTCTTACCCCACAGCCCTCCAAATGGTTCCTTTTCAAGTATCTATCCAATTCCCTTTTGAAACCTATTATCGAATCTGCTTCCACCAACCTTTCAGGCAGTGCATTCCAGATCGTAACAACTCTCTGGGTAAAAATATTTCTCCTTGTCTCTCCTCTGGTTCTTTTGCCAATATTTTTTGGCAATTTTTTAAAAAATATATTGTTTCTATTGACCATTAGGCATTAGTTCTTTACTCAGCAGTAAAAACTAGCACATAGTGGACAACATATTGAAAGGCCGATGGCCATTTTATTTGGAAGCAAATCTCTGGAAGGTCTTGGGACTGTGTGGGCTTGGAGAGAGGAAAACTACAGCATTTCATTTAAAATAAGTGTTTGAATTCAGAATACTAGCAGTGGAAACAGAACAGAATCTGCGAATAGATACTGCCCAAAGTATGCTGCTGTGTCAAAGTAATAAAAAGTAGCAATACTTTAGCAGTAGCTTCTCACGCTCGATAGACTGAATGATCGTCTTCTGTTCCTATGGTGCCATGCAGACACAATGCAGAATTCTTCATCCTGATTTGAAAATATCCTGTCATCATTCTTCCTGTTTGCATTTGCTGTAGCGCCTCAAAGCAGATTTAACATAAATCCAAAATTATTTACTGTAAAGTGCAGGGACAAGGTACCTTGGAGGCGAACACAACAGTCAATTTTCACAGCAATGTCCCGCAAACAGCCATGACTATGACCAAAGAATCCAATTTTATTTGGGGATGGTTGGCCAGGACACCAGGAGAAACTGCCTTCTCTTTTCGAACAGTGCCATGGGATCTGAACCGACAGACAGGACCCAGTTTTAACATTTCATCCAATAGTCAGCACCTCCACAATGCAGTCCCAGACACTGTATTGGCGAGAGACTATGAACTCACAGGTGGGGCTTGAACCCACAACCTTCTGAATTAGAGGCAAGAGTACCTGATGCTATGCTTGTCATTAGTTTCAAGTCCTACATAGTCTGTCATATTAAATGATCCCACGACCTTGTTTGAAAAGACAAGAGAGCTTCCCTAGCACTCTGAGGAACAAACTTCCAGATAATTTGGTCATTCACCTTCTGACCTTTTGTGAGATATTGCTGTGTGCAAATTGGCTGTGGTTGTGTTCACCTGCAAATGCCGAGCTTTTGAGATGTTTCAACATTGTAAGTGCTATATCAGGTGGAAGGATTATTATTGATTATGCATTAATGATAGGCTTACTGCATCATCATGTGAAAAGAGAGACAGCAAAGAAACTATTTTTTCCGGAATTTCAATCTGTATTTTGAGAAAAAGGAAGGAAAATGTTTTTAAAGGATATGGAATGCTTGGAATAAAGCAAGAAACAAAAGATCTTAAATTTGCTGATAAACCACTCAAGCTTTTTCTGCAGGGCTCATATTGTCACCTGAACTCTGAGATAAGTCATTGCTTGCCACCCACACTGTGTCCAAAAGCAAAGACTGTTCCAGTTCAGTGAACCAATTATATGTGTGAACCTCAAAACAAATTTCGAGATTCACCAATATATTTGAGAATAGCAAATCTCGAACGTGTATCAATTGATCTTCTGAAACTCTACTGGAAACTCATTTCAGTTCTGCCTTCCAATAATAA